AAAAAAAAAAAAAAAAAAAAAAAAAAAAAAAAAAAAAAAAAAAAAAAAAAAAAAAAAAGAACCCGTTCTCTCCTCTCTTATTCCCCGGCCTATAAGCTTGTTTCCCTTATTTGCTCACTCGCAAGCTCGAGTGAAACGTGATGGGTGCATGTCACGTGTGTGTATACTTATCTCCGTAAATCCCGGCGCGCGTGCCCGAAGAAGAAGTTTAAAACAGCTTATCACACACACACACACACACGCGCGTATAACCTTTTGTTCGACATACAGAGCGCATATAATATGTGGCTGCAGTATTAACGCCCCATCTGTGGTTGTTGCCTCATCGCTAAACGCACGGGGCGACTGATGTATCATTTATTGTTGCATATCGTATTTTGAAAGCTCTCGATTTGGTATAGGTGTAAAATACATAATTATGGATTGTTATTATTATTATTATTATTATTATTGCTTTTCTCTGGTTTTATCGATGAATAAAGTAGATTTTTAAAGAAAAAAAACAAAATGGCACGATTTTGAATATATTTTATGGCACGACATCCACACCATAAATTATACGGTATATACCTAATTAACAATATCGTAAAAGCATTATTTTACCCAACGACTTTGCAGTCTCTTTCTATTTTACAAAGTTTGAACATATAAATTATGACAGCGCACTATGCAATGATGCTGTAGCAATCACAAACAAGTGCATCACATAAATATGTGTATACAATAATTATATGTACTGTATACCTATACAAAGGTACAGTGTATGTATTTCATACAGAAACAATATTTGCACTTGCATGGGGGCGTGTATTAGTATACGCTCGTTGCAACACTGCACATGTAGTACAACCTATGCGTGTACTTGCACTGGGAATCGCGAGAGCTTTACAAATAGAGAGAGAGAGAGAGAGGGATGCATCAAGTTGCAGGCGAGGTTCAAAGCTTTGACGTCGGTCTCCTCGTCACTCGGTGCGATGAATAGAGGAGGCTTTTAAGGTGATTATTTGTCATTCATTGGCTCGTAGTATTATTATATTATCAGAGAGGGAAGAAAAGGGTTTTAAATGCTGTACAGACTCTGCGCTTTCAAGCACGAGGCACGGCTTACTTTTTATTATTTTTTTTTTATCGTCAGAGTTCAAAATGGCAAAAAATGAATTTGCTTCGGTGGTACAAGAAACTATATAGTATCTCAAATACATCAGAGCTTAATTCGTCACTAGCGAATAAATTGATGCAATAATCATAATGTTTATTTACTATTTCTCTGCATAAAATTCAATTTCTTCGAATCGACGGAATGTTTTTCAAAATTTTATTAATCAAACTTTTTTTTTTTTTAATTCGGATGCTTTTTGATATAATATTGGCTATTATTTGAAAGAGGGATGAGATGGGAAAACAATTTTTTATTTTTTAATGATCGGTAAGTTTATTGTATTCAATCCACAAAACTTTATCGCTTTTTAACGACCAATTTTGTCTATGGATTATTTGAACTTTGAAAATACTAGTAAATTATTGAAAATCTCTAAGAGTAAAAAAAATTAAAGTGCACACAAAAACAGCACCATATGAACAATATGTTTTTCGAGTTGGAAGTAAGAAAACGTTTACATGAACGAAAATTTTGAAATTTTTCAACCGTATTTTTGAGCTATGAATAATAAAAAGTAACTAGAGTGAAATTTGGAAAAAAATCAGCACTTGACAGTGTTTAACTGTTTGACTATTTGTGATTATTTTTTCTGGTATAGTGATGAAATTGAGCTTTCTATTAACTTGAGCAGTATATTTTTATGAATAAAAAAAATATCTTTGATAACATTTACATAATATGGAGGGTGTAAGAAAGAATAAAGTAATTTTATGGTAAACAATGTTATTAAAAATGTAATATTACAAACAGACAATTGGACTGTACAAATATTTAAAACAATACAATTAATACACACAAAATGGACGAAATTCTTATTCTTGCGCTTTCACAATTGAACAATAATTGCCTTCAAGAAAACTGGGAATGTATCACAACCTATGTACAAAAGTACAATAAGTGTACTTCTCATATGCACACCTACAAGTATATAATAAACTAACGTACAGTACAAGGTATCAAAATGGAAAAAAAGTCTTTGTTAAACATACTTGGATTTCAAATTTTCAGGGCACGCTTCACATGTATTTCACAAACAAATCCCTTGATTTTCACACCAAGCCAAACATATTTTGGAATGACATCTTTTTTTTGTAAGTTCTTTTATACGCAAACTTGAGACACACCAGTATCAAAAGTGCAGCTGAAACTACGTAGAGCACCACACAAATGCTAAAATCAAATATTGTAAAGTCCCAGCCAAACTTTTTGTAACCCGCCCCCGAGTTAGCTGCATTCATATTGATCTCATGTTCCAAGTCCGTTTCACTGATGCCCTTCAAATCAATATTTACTTTACTGTACTTTGCTTTGAGGTACTTAAGAACCTCGTGTTCATTCCACTTTCCGTCAGACAGTCGGCAGTCAGGACAATGTTCTGCTGATGGATATTGGATTTTTTTGTGCTCAGGATCTTCAGTTGCGTCTCCGGCTAGTCTCTCGTTTACCTCGTTGTGGGCCCGCCACAACCAAAGCACGTCTTCGTCCCCACCTCGAGAATCAAACAGTTTTCTCTTAGCTGCCATTTCTTGGAAGTGTTGGGCACATTCAGCACACGCAAAAAAATTCTTTACGTAAGCATGCATAGTTGTCAATACAGAAGGTACGTCTTTGTCATTGTTTGCCTCTTTCTCGGCTGCCGCCACTGTTAATGTATGGAACAGAGTCCACAATCCACAAGGATAGCCTCTAAACGTCGGTTTACTGCCTTTGCAGCCAATGTACGTTTTAGCCGTTAAATTTGCTGAGTAGACTGGTGCTAGTCCTTTTTCCTTAAGCTTGATCTGTTCTTTGAATTCTTTTCCGGAAATATTGCTTTTCGTATCTAATACGTCTTGCAAAATTTCCAAATAAGTTTTCATTTTTATTACATGAATTGGGAAGTATTTGACTAACACCTTCAGATACGTTTTTAATGCTGTCATTTTTTCACCAGAAATATTGAAAGACAATGGGATTTCGTTGTTAAGAGAATACCTGAGAGCAGTCTCCAAGTCCAGTTGATAAACATTATCTCTTGAGAGGTGATCGTTTGTTTTGCTGTTATCTTGTGACACGTGATTAATATGTTTTAAATCAAAGTCATCTTTTTTTATTTCAATAGATATCCCCTTTGATTGTAAAAATTCTGTAATTACTTTTACAATCGCCTCTCTAGTGAGAATCTCAGTTTTTAGGTGTTCTGATTTGTCTTTTCTTTCAATAACAATGACAGAAGGAAATTTTTTTACAGCAAATGCAGAAGTGAGAACTAAATTATTCGAAGTTATCCTTCTGATTCTTGTATTTTCTAATTTGTGCAAGTCTAAAATAACATCAGCTCCCAGATAAGCATTTGGCTCTTCAAAAATCAAAAACTGATACTGAACACTTTCTGGGATTTTTTCCCACAAGGTTTTTATCTCACTATTCCTGAAATGTAGAAAAGTAATTTAATCAAATGAAACATTTCATGCTAAAATTGTAAAGTAAAATGATGGAATAAACGCATACCTGTAAGGTACAAGATTTGGCCAATTAAGGCCAGCTTCTTGATCCTGCTCGTCTTTTATCAACTGGTCGATCAAGTACTGTCTCAAAGAATTTTCACTAAAATCTTTCTTCATGTCGATTCCTATTTTATCCTTATCATTAGTTGATCTTAAATGGAAGAATCTGATTGTAGGATAGCTCATGATTTCATAGTCTCTACAAAGAGGGTTGTTATCATCATTGGCACAGTTAATGGCTCCAACTGCTACAATATCTTTCCAACCTAAGATGGTAGAAGAATTTTGATTAAATATTAGAAAGGAAATTCATAGTTGGTCATTTGGAGTGATATAACAAAGTATCATGCATTAAAATTATATTAAATGTCAGAAAAAAAATAGATTTTCATCTACAAGTCTTCAGATGAGCAGCCAAATTCAAGGAATCCTTTCACTCTTTATTGAGATAAAAAAAATAATTTCACCATGCATTTCTATGTTACAGTTGATAAGATTATTTGACTTAAAGAATTGCAATGCATGTTAAACTGTTTATCTAAACACAACTGTAAGTCTTTTAATATTTTATTGCCAAACAGGCAAAAATTAGATGTTTTTGAAAAATACAATTTATCTTGCTTTTGTTTTTTTTTTATAATTTCTAATGATTCTAGCCAATAATTTTTTCCTTGAAAAAGAAATAACGATAAACAACTGAAAACCTTATAAAATAATAACCACTTGAATTATATTTGTCAAAAAAAAAATGTGCAATTCTATAATAAAAAACTACAATTCTTGGTCATATTGATTACGTAAAGTATAGTACTCAGAAAAAATTAAAATAAAAAATATTTTTGTTATTTAAAACAACAAAACAAATAAAAACTTTCGTTAGTAAAAGAACTGTCATTCGTAGAAAAACACCATGTGGCAAATGCAATACTTGTAATCTTGCTCAAATGATAGCCTGGAAAATGTTTTCGTTCTGATGAAACTTAAATAGGATAGAATGAATCATCGCGCGGCAGTAGCAGCGTGCATGCGTTTGCAGACCATATAATTGTTCAATAGGTAAGCAGAAGAGCAGTAGTAGGTCAAATAAAACTCAAACATTCACAATCGACAATCTGTTCTTTGCAATAAACATATGTTAGCAATTATGATAAAAAAAAAGATAATAAGTAAGAGAGCATGAAAGCGTGAACGGTGCACGCTATTAAGGAATTGAATGACTTCAGGTAAAACACGCGGTAAACGTAGCAAACGCGTAAATGAAGAGATATACTTACAAGTAGTACTTTTCATAAACACAATCATTATTGAATTTTTACAATGATTATAAAATTTTTTTAGATGTGGCGCGCGCAATTATATCTCTCTCTCGCGCTATATACTCTCGCAACGCACAAAAATAAAAAAATTTACATCTTAGATAGTATGTACTTAAATGTCACTCAATCCACATATCGTCCATCAGTTCACGGTTCATCAAATAGAAAAGAAAACAACAGAGAAATGTAAACAACAACAACAACAACAACAACAACAACAACAACAACAACAACAAAAACTGATGAGCAACGGGTTTACTTGAACGTAAATATTATAAGGAAAGAAAACAGATAACTCACCGTAAATACTCTTGGCCAATGCCTTCCAAAAGGGCGCGAATTTGCGACAGTGGCCGCAGTAGCTGTTGTAAAACTGTACCAGCCAGGCCCTGCCGCTGTCGTGGACGCTGGTCTTAAAATTCGTAATGTTGAGCACGTAGACGAGATCATCGCCGCCGTAGAGGCCGTCCTGGTCGTCCAAGGCAGCCTTGTCGTCGGGCTTCTGCTGCGGCACGACATTCGACGTTACCAGCTGGCCCAGGAGCAGGACGCAGAGCAGCAGAACTCCGGCGCCCAGGCGATTACTGTCCATCCTTGTGAGATAGAGTCCACTTTCGACCCAAAGTCGTCTATTGGGAGCAACGAGCAGACAACAACTGACTCGCTTTCGCGCTGCTGAGTATGTACTATGGACCACTATATACCTTTACCTAGTTTTTCTGAGTTTTCCACGGGTGCACACACGTCAAACGCAACCACTTATTCAGCGCTTGTGTGTATATAATATTAAAAACTCGCCGGGGAGCGTTAAAATAATAAATGTATGATTGTCACGTATACATTTTCAAGTACATCTACCTATCATCTCCTCGCCAACTCCCTGACTCTTCTTTAGCAACAGTCCCGCAACACGGAAAAATTTGCAAGATTACCTGTGCGACGTAGTTTGTGCTGAGTGCCGCGTGCGCGCTGGCGTCGCTGCAAACAGGTGTAGAGAGGCTGGGTGTGCTGATGGGGTGCTGTGCCGAGATTTCCAATACCCTAAATACCTATTTCTTCGACAATTGCGTTTGATTTTTATGAAAATTAACGGTTCAGCTCATTATCAAGTGATAGTAATTATTCTTTTCAGCAATGTTGCGGTTAATGTTTTTGAATAAAGTTTGAAAATTAGTTGCTTTTCAAACGAACATTTAAACCTTTTATAATACATTAGTTCAATTGGGTTACATGTTAAAGTAAATTGCATCAAAAATATCCTCGAATCCGAATATTTTGGTGCTACACATGTGTTTTTTCATAGGAAAATTTTTTAGGAGGAAACGTTGAGCTACGGAAAAATTGTATTATAAATTATTGAAAGTAAATTTTTTGCCATTTTATGGGTGTGTCACTCTATGAAAACCCATACTTTCAATTCCTCTGTTTCGAAGACGTTAACGCGCGTGTAAAGTATTGGTACACGGATGGGTTTTACGGCAGAAATGAGTCAAGCGGATACGCCTATTATCTACGCAAACCAAATAAAGTATAAGCTCATCCCATATAAGTACGTACATGTACATCACACAGCTACTGTGTCCGATATTAACTGTGGGGAAGGAATTTATTCTGATTTATCTTTTTTCAACGACCATAAGTAAAATAAGTGAGTGAAATCATTTTATATTATCTCTTTGAAATTAATCACTTGTTTTGTTTAAAATACATTTTTTTTTATTTCGCAGAAGATATTTAACGTGAAAAAGTTGAAATTATTTTGCATAGTAGATTTTGTTGTGTCGTACACGTGTACGTGAGTACATGTGACAGATATAAGACGAGAAACTGCGCTTTGAACGGAAAAGAATAAAAGATTTGCTCACGTGTACACGGTATAAATTTTATTAAATTCAAGTTAATTTCTCGAGCAAAGAATATATAATGACTTTTTTCTATCCTTACAAACCTCACGTGAATATTTTTTATCATCACAACTTCGACGTTGACTGTTTAAAACGAAATAACAAAATTTGTATTGATTTGAAGTAAAAATTTTCCAAACTTCATTTTGAGAACGCAAATGTTTTTTTTTCTTTTAATGTCAGAGGTAAAATTTACTTTGTACCAAATAAATATGATATGAGTCAAACATGAAGAACCTCTCGATCTAAAAATACGCGCCTTGCAAATCTCAAATGATAAATAATTACACTGGCGTAAAAAACGTGTTCGCGTTATATTGTTTTGATTATGTTGTGGTAATCAAGCACGTGGATAGTTGAAATTTGTTGTTACGCGCCGTACCTTTCTGAGAAAATAATTGAACAACCAATATTACAGAGGCAAAAAAGACAAGCGTGAACATGTACTGTCCTTAAAAGCGCGAAATTTTTAGACACTTACTTTTTATTTTTCCAAACAGCCCAACTATACTTATACACTCTACATGTACTTTTTCCTTCGTTACGCAAACGGGTATTACGGGATACTTTTAATTAATCATTTTTCAAACAAAAACTTGACTTTCTCTCTCGCGCGAAGCAAGTGGACACACGCCGCCGCCTGTCGTGCACATGATCAGTTTTTCTGCGACGAGGAAAAAAAGTTTGTGTCATTCTAACTACCAATTTGACCGATTTCCCATTAAAGAAAAAAAAAATAATAAAAAAAAACTAGTTTTTAATTAGGGATAAATGACATCATAGTATTTTATTTTTATTTATTTATTTTTAATCGAGAGTTTATTTTAGTATCGCCGCCCGTAAGTTATGTAAGCGCACGTATCGTCAAAGTTTAATTAAGAAATCATTAGTACCAGCGAGAGCCATTAATGAATAACAAGGCTGTGGTTTCGTGCAGCGTCGATTTTCGTTGATTACTCGACTAACATTGTGACGTAAGTTTAAAAGCACAAGTAAGGTGCTCTATTATTTTTTTATTTATATATATATATCTTAGATAGTATGTACTTAAATGTCACTCAATCCACATATCGTCCATCAGTTCACGGTTCATGTATTCAATCCACAAAACTTTATCGCTTTTTAACGACCAATTTTGTCTATGGATTATTTGAACTTTGAAAATACTAGTAAATTATTGAAAATCTCTAAGAGTAAAAAAAATTAAAGTGCACACAAAAACAGCACCATATGAACAATATGTTTTTCGAGTTGGAANACTTAAGTTTTGTTGAATGTTTACATCAGAAGAGCAAGAGACAGGGCAACATTTATTTTGCAAACTGCGTGATTTATTTAAACGTTTCGTAATTAAATGATATCACTATAATTCAACACATGTATAATATCTGCAAGTCTCAAAAAAATATGTATTAAAAAGAATGTTTATTTTTATGTACATAAAAACCATTATAAAATATCTTGAGAATCTTCGTGGTACAAAAACGATCGTATTTACACGCTTTCTTTCGATTTTTTTCTAATAAAATAATTTTTTCAATCCCCGATGATTAATCATCCGTTCCCAAACCAGAGTTTGTCAACAACTCAAACTCATCCCTCTTCAACAATGCCGCTCGAACATCGTCCACATCAATGAAAACAGCGTCCTTATCACACCTGTCCACAGCACACGAGTGGGACAGCCTGAGAATATCCTCTATGAAACACTCGACAGCCTTGCTGACGATTAGGCTCGACGTCGAGTGGACGACGCTAGGGCTTATTTTTCTCAATTTTTTTTCTGTTAATATTTCTACAGTTTCGGGGAACAATTCTTCGGGCCGTAGGGTGATGCCTCGCCTGTCTGTGACGTTTCGCACGTACTCCAGCAGACTGTTCGTCGTTTCCGGGTACTCCAGTAAAATTTGTGGCATTTCGGTATGCGCTTGTAGCTCGTTTGGTTTTGGCACGCGTTTCCGGTACGTTGGCATCTGTTGTACGCTCATCACATCTACTTCTTCGTTGTCATCATCGTCGAGCTTCAACGTGCCCTCTTTGCTCTCCAGCTCTTTAATCCACTGGTTAGCTTCCTGTATGACAGTTGATGACACCTCAATTTTTTCCCTTTTTTTATTGCCACCTGCCGACTTTTTCGTCTTTGACGCACACGCAGTGCTGTCGATCGGAGTGAACCCGTACCTCCTTGCCCACGTCACAAAATCCTTTATACTAATGTCGGCTTTGTGTTTCGATTTCGACAGTATTTCCAAAGCACGAATAGCTCGCTGTCGTTCTATGGCTCTCTGCTTTGCCCTCGAGTAACTGCAGTACACAGCATAACTTTCGCAAGCATAGGGGTGCTGGGCTTTGTAGTGCGGAATCAACGCCTTTTCGGTGATTATAGGAGTCTTTGTCGCAATTATTTTCAAAATGTTGGGCAAACTTTCTGGTTTTGCGTGGTTTATCAAATGTACTAGAGCTTCCGTGATTCCTTCTTTAGATAGGTACTTGGCTGGTGTAGGATTCGTAGAAACATTGTCTTTTTTCGATGAATCTTGTGAATTAGGAGCATCCAATTCCTTCTGGATGGAGACAGTCTTTTCTGGCAAAAGTGGCTGTTGATTTGAATCTAATTTTGTTGCAGTTGAATTTTCGTTACAAAGATTATTTAATTTTGAATGATTTTCCTGTTTTTCAGAGTTTGAAGATTCTTGGCTGAGCTTTGGATTAATATTTACATAATCGTGATCTGACGGGAGATCATGATGTATTGTAATGTTTGATTGTTCATCGGTTATTCTATTTTTCAGTAACAAATCCAAATCCGATTGAATTTCACTATCATTGCAGTCTTTTTCCTCATCACCTTCTAGGTCTATCACAGGTGCTGATGTCAGTCTTTTCGTGCTGATGGTCAACTCCACTACTGTTTGTGCTCCACAAGTTTGCAAGCCCGTGAAAGTTTTATCAAGTGTCAAATGGTGAATAATATCCACAGGCTTATTGATGGCATTGGTGAAGTGCAACTGAATCCTCACGGGAAACTCACCCCAACCAAGCCTGGCTAAATGAAATGGCGGTGATGTTACTTCAATCACATCGTGAGGCTTGTAACTTGGATGCAAGAAGAATTTGACTTTGGAAAAAATGGAACTGAGATCACTTTTTTCAATGTCCTCGATGTATACCTTCCACTTGTGCGTTGCATTATTTTTCCCCCTTGAATCGGAATCAACAAGCCACTTTGACAAATTACCAACAACGATTCTTTTGGTTATTTTATGATTTGCACCAGTAACATGATGCACGCTGTCAATGTCTTTGGAACAACTTGGCTTGTCATTACATGTAGATCTACTACCTTCATCATCCGCGCCTTTAGAATTACTTGTACTTTGAGCACGTTCGTCAGCCAGCCTTTTCTTTTCGGTGATAACTCCAAGCTCCTCCCAACAGTTATACTCCATGTCATTGTATGGTACTTTTCTCTTGGGAGCGTTCACTGTGGGATGCAAGCGAGATTGTAAAGTAGCGTGAGCTGGATCGGTACTCATTCCTTGGCTGTAATAATGTTTGACTATGGCATAGCGCAAATAATGCATCGTTTTTGTCGCCTTTGTCAGCGCCTTGTAGATAGCTTTGACCTCCTCCTTTTTCGTCTCGATTTCCCTCGTGAATTCCTTCTCTATGATGGCAGATATTTTCTTCACGGTGCTCGAACGAGCCGACTCCTCGAAGATGTTCTGGTGCTCCGTCTCGTTCTCTTCCGACACGAAATAGTCCGGATCGTGTTTTATGGGTGCGCTGTCGCTGGCTTCTGCCATGATTAATTTTCTATTTATTCAACACGTATGTTCCTTGTAGCTTCGTTTTTTCGTTCTTCACAAACTGTTCACTAATACTTAATCATTTTCCGTTGAAGTTCGACAAATTAAAATTTCACCTCATTTTAATGACGATCGACGTTGTTCTGCTGTGATTGAGGTTATTCTGTTTGTTTATGATGTATACATATGTATTTGCATGCGAGCGTAATCGCACTGCTACCAACTTTCCAACGTGACCATAATTTTTCTGTTCATTTTGTGTTGAGAAAAAACTGATTCTCCAACAATTAAATTTTTCTAAGTATTCTAGAAAAAAATATACTATTCTTTGTGTAAGCCTTTAGAATCTTAAACTATCCAACATATTTTTTTCACAGTAAACTATCCTTGCTTTTTTTAAACGTAAAGTATCTACAGACGAGGTTTCAAACATCTGGAAAAGTGTTTTGAGTAAAAAAGTAATTTTTTTAGAGAAATTGGATTTTTTTTCTTACCCGTAGTATTCAAGAAGTCTGTCAGCTTCTCTGAATCCAGTTTCAACAGCTCCATGAACTGTTGAATAATAATGTGGATGTGTAGCTTCTCCAGCAAATAAAATAATCTGCAAAAATTTATTCATTTTGATAAAACTAATGTTAAATGAAACAAATTTAGTATAAAAGTGCTGTAAGAGGAAAATTTATAATACCATCATTAAACTTACTGGATTATTATTAGCAGCTTTTATTGGATCTGCATAATCCTGGGAGTTGATCTTTGAAATTTCGGTATCAAGACTGCGGTAACTGTAAGATCCTCTAATATGCTTATCACTGTACCATTTTGACCTTAAAATGGATTGAGGTTTAGGAATATCGTAGATGTGTCCCATGAATTTTTGTAATAGAAAGTAAAACTCTTTGAGGACGGTGTCATCGGACAAAGTTTCAATATATTTGGCATTTGGTCCCACAATCCATCCTGATAGTAATCTAGGTTGGCAATCGACAGTGAAAAATTGAAACACATCACAAAGCCAAAATCTATCCTAAAATCGGAAAAAAAAACTTTTTAATATTCCAAGAACTTTGTACAAATCATCGAGTTGACTTTGCTTACTTTTCCATTTATTTTTAAGAAGTTTTTTTTTTGTTCATCGGACCACATTAAAGAAAACGCTCCAGTATTTTCAGGCCACCATCTATATGGAAATTCAAGGAAAATTTTATTTGCGACTCCAATGTTTAATCCCTAAAAAATAATTTAACATTAATAAATTTTCGTAGGCATTTATAAATAATTTATATAAAAATAAAAACCTTGATGGCTTGAATTTTACGTTCTGGTAATGAAGGTTTAAACAATGTGGTATGTTGCTCTTTTAAAACTCCCAATGAGGGAGTAAAAATTACATTGGAAACTTTGTACATTGATCCATCAGAAGTCGTAACAGTTACATGATTTTTTGTATAGTCTACAAGCTGAACTTCTTTGTTGAAAAGTATTTTATTAAACACCGGCAGCTCTTTGGAGGGGTCTGGATAACGTTTCTAATAAAAAAAGTTGTCTTGGTAATGCGATTCAAGAAAAATATTTCAAAAAAATATTTTGAACTTACAACCAACAAATCAAATATTTTTGAATATCCATTTGTCTTCCAATTTAACAGCTGATCTCCTTCACATGTCCAATAATCTTTAAGTCTTGCAAAGGAAACTTTGTGCCAGCTGTCACAGCAATCAATACTGTTGTGATATTTATGCATCCAATCTAAAACCTGCTCTGCCGTTTCTTTGGTGATAAGTGGATTATTATCGATTTCTTTATAAAATCTGAATAACAATTGGCTACATTACTACAATTTTCATTGAAGCACACCTTACAAGAATTTAAAAAACAACTGACACTCTTGTAAAATAGTCTCCGTAAGATGTACCAGGTTCAACATCGACCTCATCCTCCTCGTCGCAGATTTTCTCATAGATTCTCAAAATCTCGACAGTCTCCTGCTGAGACAACACTTCACCCAGCGAATTGACAAATATGTGCTTAGTGTGATCATTGATATTTTTAGAAGACGCCAATAAATTATGTTTCGATGCCAATTTGTACACAATATTATTAACTTCTCCGTGGCACCATTGGGCTCCCAGTTCAACTACATTGTCAGCTACGTTGATAAGCAACGATGTGAATCATCGGAAACGTTAATAAAAGTGACAAAAAAATATTTAAATGCAAACTTACAGAACTTGACAGTGTGAACTCTTCCACCGATTCTGTCCTTGGCCTCGAGAATCACAAGATTTTTCAACCCTCTGTCCAAAAGTCTTGATGCCGCGGCGATACCCGCAGCCCCAGCTCCGATAATTAGCACTTTAGGATCAGTCATGGCTCTAAAATTTTTGACACTTGTCAGTTTGGCCGTAAGGCCTTTGAAAATGGTAAAAAGCACCATTTTCGTCGCATCCACTCCAAACAATTTGTGCACCGGTAGATGCTTTACTGTCCAGTGTTTATTCACTGATAAGGTATTTTAAAAAATACTTACCTGGTTGCGCGATTAAGTGCGATAAAAAACAGATAACACGGAATGTCCACTGATGCCTTTTTCCGCTTCCGCTGTACGCTATATACATATATATATATATATATACATATACTTTATAGATATATCATAACTCTTCGTCTGCTGAGTCTGCTACTCTGCTCCTAATATTTTCATTTAAGGTTAGGTAAATGCTAACCTTCAATGATCCAGCATCGAGGAGCCGCTGTGACGGCGCCGATTTCCATAGAATATTAAGAATATTAGTTTTGATTTATGATTCATAGTGTATATTATATTGATAGTAAAGTATAAAGAATTTTTAGATAAACATTGATTTTTAAGTGAAAAAAGTAAAAATGGAAGACCAAGCCTGTCCGAGATGCAAGACCACAAAGTACAGAAATCCATCGTTAAAGTTGATGGTGAACGTTTGCGGTCACACTTTATGCGAGAGCTGCGTCGACTTGTTATTTTTAAAAGGTACAAACGTTGTTTATTAAATGCACCGAGGTTATTGTTCATTTTTTATCGCATAACTTTATTTTTTTAGGCTCCGGATCTTGTCCGGAATGTAGCACAGCACTGAGGCGAGTGAACTTTAGGGTTCAGCTCTACGAAGATGCCTTGGTCGAGAAGGAAATCGACATCCGTAAGAGGATACTGAGAGACTTTACGAAAAAGGAAGAGGATTTTGCCACCCAGCGCGAATACGACGATTACCTGGAGGAAGTGGAGAACATCATATTCAATCTTGCCAACAACATCGACGTCATGGAGACCAATAGGAAAATTGAGCAATATAAGAAAGAAAATAAAGAGCAAATTGTGAAGAGTAAGACCAAGTTGGGTAGAAAGGAGAACGAGCTGGCAAAGATTATCGAGTTGGAGAAGTTGGAGCAAGAGGAGAGGAAGATGGAACTTGCTAAAGAGGAGTTGGAGTTGAAAAAGAAGAAAATCAGAGAGAAGGAGGCTCTGATAGACGAGCTCATGTTCTCCGACAGCGATGCAAAAAGCATTGTCAATCAGTTTGCATCTGCTGTTCAAGCTACAAAGGAGGAGAGTAAGTTAATTTCCAAAGCCTCAGGATTCAGTACAGGAATTAAGTTCAAGGGTAGCTCGAGCTTTCTACCAGTGCCTAGGGTTGATGATGGACCAGCCTACAGATACACTCCTCTCAGTCAAGAAATCGAGGGACCAAATCCACCTGGCTGGAACGAGATTCTCACACAAGGATATATTACCCATGTCAGGGCTGAGAACGCTTGTGAAAAGGCAGGTGGATTTGTTGGTAATATAGCTTGTTTGAGAGCACTGCAGGAAGCCATGGCTGGCTTGTATCACAATCCAACCAAGCAATCTGTAGAAATTCCAGAGGAGGCATGATAGTGATACCTAATTTAAATTTGTTTTTTTTTTTTTTCAAATTCATAAAAAAAAAAAAAATTACAGAGCATTGTTTACAGTTGAAAAATGATTAATTTAATTATTCAAGTAAAAAGTGAACAGATAAAGGGTTAAAAGAAGAGTATGAAGTCAGTGATTAAACAAGTGGCAAGTGTTTATTAAACATCGCGCTATTAAAGTAACTGAGAACTTAAAAATAATATCTATGGACCTAACTTAATTTAAATTGCTGTTCATTGCTGGAATATATCCGGTGATAGGTTGACAATTTTTTTAATGAGGAAATTTTCTATTACTGCTTTGGCTAAAAACAAAAAGTTTACTCATTATTTGGCAAACAACTGATGACTAATGTTAATCAATCACAATTCAAATGATACCTGTTGTTGCATTCTTGAGAATAGCTGCTTTGTAAGCATTGATTCCGTGTACATTGGTTATCGTTATATCAGCTCCCTTTTCCAAGAGCTCATAACAAACGTGCGGATGATCACCTTGCGCTCCATAAATCAAAGGTGTATTCCCCTCCTATTTATAAAAAAAGTGTGATCGATTAATTACACTATTTTTTTTACTTTTTAAGCCCATACATGTAAATAAAAGTGTAAAATAAAACTATTTAAGTAATTAAAGAAAAAAATTTTTTTACAATTTTGCAATTATCCGTACAATAAACTCACATCTTCGCATGCATTTGGGTTGGCACCATGATTTAACAACAATCTAACAAGATCATGGTGACCAGAGGCAGCAGCAAAGTGCAGAGGTGTTTGACCCTGTGATCCTTTTTTATTTTGATTTGCCCCAGCTTGCAACAACAATCTTGCACTGCTCAATTGTCCATAACCAGCTGCCCACATCAATCCAGTCAAACCATTATCATCCAGAGTATCCACAGAGCCTCAAGTCAAAAATATATTTGAAATGAATAAATGTGTCTTCCAGGATGGGGTATATTTTCTCTGCATCAAAGTATAAACTACCTGCATGAATATTGTCAGCTGTCAGCTCACCCTGGCCAGCCATGGTGTAAAAAGTAACATCGCCTGTGCCATAGGGTAGCAAAATCTCTGTTTGCGTGTTTCCTCTTTGTAAATTTGTCAGTAAAGTTGGAGGCTACGATGTTTACAAAAATATACATTAAAACAAAATCAACCAATGAAACTAGCAACAGTAATAATTATGTACCACTATAATTGTTTACCTTATACGGCTGAAATGCACTCTTCCTAGTTGCATCCTGCCAAGCACCAGGTGCCCAGTGTTTCTTGGTCTCTAAAGGCTCGGATTTGCAGCTCGACACGTTGACATTACCAGGCTTGCAAATCACTGGCCTTGGCCTAATTCCAATGGGCGATCCTGTGCTGTTGCTGGACAATATTCCAGTATTGGTATCCTGAGGACTGTGCGTAAACTCGTCCGTGAATTCAAAATCAGATTCCTCCTTCATGTCAGCGAACAAACAGCAGAAAAAAAAAATTTATCCTCTGTCTGGCTCACATATCTCCTTTTTCTCTTCAACACAAAACAAAAATTGAATGATGATGTTTTTAATTTTTTCCTTCCCGCATCTGTGGCACAGGATCCGCAGTTGTCAAGTGCGATACTTGCGTCCGTAAATACTGTTTTGTTTATATATGTACAGTACGAACATTTGTTTACATATATATATATAGCTGTGCGTGGGCGTATGCGCGCAAATGCAGTCATGTGGTGTCTGCTGGGACGGCGACAAGCATGGCGGCCATAATAAAAGGTGCAGCATCCCAATAAACACAACTCGTCATATATTTACCTCGTAATCACCTTCACTTACAGCTCGTTAAATTAAGCACATAATTCTGTTGAATCACGTAAATAGTTGAATGTTAATTTAAGTGTGAAAATACGATAAGATAAGCTAATTGTAATACATCGGTTTTTGTGTATGTTTTTTTTTTTTTTTCTTTTTTTTCCACGACCGACGTGCCGATGCAGATACCGGAGAAATTTGGAGCAGGCTCTTTGATCATCGGCCGTTCGTTCACGGCGAAGTCACGTTTTTCCTGCGAGAGTTTCAGGTAATCCGTTGTTCTTTGTCAAAATTACGAGCCAAGGAATAACAGTGTTACTACATTACACGCATAAGTACATTGTAGGACCGAAGGGACGACAGAGAAGTGTCACGTTTGTTCAAGAGCCTAGAGTACTCGTCCGAGCTCGGGCAGAGCCAGTTGGACAGGGCCTTACAGCTAGGAGATGAGCATCTGCCGAGTTTGAAAGTCAACGTCGACGTGGCGATTAGTATGTGCGAGAGTGTTTTACAAAAGGAGTGCAAATTCGATAGTGTAAGTGTTTGAAGGGTAAATTGTGCATGATTGGCTGATTTTTTTTTTTTTTTTCTCAGTTCTTGATTTTACTTTTTATTTTAGACCAGTAAATTGGAAAAAAATCGAGGAACAAGGAAAAGCGAGTGGGAAAAGTTTATCAATGATATGACTGACAAGTGTGCTAAGGTAGACGAAGAGTTTCTGATCAAAGAGAAAGAACTGCAGGGTTTTTATGCCGATCTGGAAGAAAAGTTGCACATTAAGTCTTAATTGCAGTGTAGCACTGCCTAATCATGCCAGTAGAAACTATCGAGGATCCGTACGTTAAACTGAAACTTACGCAAAAACTAATCGACTTTATAGTCAAAAATGTTAAAAATGAAAAGAACGTGCCCCATAACATTAAGACATTGAAAAACTGTGCTCAAAATAAGCGTGCAGACTGTACTTTGTCGTTGAAAGATATCAAGTGGCTGAAAACTTTTCTGACAGAACAGTCAAACGGTAAGAAAAAAGTTAATCTTCACGAGCTTTTGGAAGGAGTTGATGTTCAATTGCCTCAGCCAAAGATTACACCGAGAAATCCGGATTTGGAAGCTAGGATAAAAAAACTAAGAGCCCAACAAAATAACAGGGATTACAGGGCTATGACCAAGAGTGTGGATAATACTAGAAAGTATTTGCCAGATGATTCTCTAGCTTACCAGAGTAAGTTAACATAATACAATAATGTAATACTTGTGTGCATTAGCATCATGACGTAATCTCTTTTTTTTTTTTTTTTTTTTTTTTTCCAGTGAAGGCCATTAATAAGCAACTGATTGCTGTATTTACATTTGTTGTGACTGTAGCAGCTGGTTTTGCATTTGGTTTCTGGGGTATATTTTGGGAAACAGAAGGTGTGGACCTAGGGTTTAGATTGCTGATAGGAATAATATGTGCTTTAATAATAGCACTCGCTGAAATTTACTTCTTAGCAAAAAGCCTCAGTGAAGATTATGATGAATTACCTGCATCTCAACCTTTGTCCAAGAGACCACATCAAGATTAAATCCTCTACTTAAATGTATGATAAACTTTAATATCAATTTATTCAGTGCGCATAATTTTTGATAGTTCTATATACTGTAGGTACGATTAAGCGTTGAAATTCAAGATAAAAATCATTGTAATTCTTGAATTAAAAAAATCGCATTTTGCGTTTATTTTATAAATTTCTTAGAATTTATACGTTATTATAATTTAGTAAAAAAATGTTACTAACTGAATTTTCATACAAATTTATTCTTAAGAGCCATTATAATTATTTGTACCATTGAATTTTAAGGGTTTCCATAGAAATAAAAAGAAACTTTCCAATTACAAATCTAATTGAGTGATCTTAAAAAATATTGAATAAATAACATGTTTTCATCTGTTACAATAACATTGTATGCAAGCTTACCATAATCCAACTTTCAAGGTAAAAAAAAAAATAAAAAAAAAAAATTGATCAAGATTCTTTGAGCTTACCATCAACACTTTGTACAATTCGTAGCTTTAGTTTCTTCAAAAAATCAAACCACATAATTACACAAGACTTAATAATTTTATGGATAGAAAAATTATGTCTTTGTATCCTCATCACTGTTACTCTCACTTTCTGAAGAATCATCATGGCCATTTTTTTTATCACTGGCACTGTTACTACTGTCCGACGTGTTCCCGTTTTCAACTTTATCACTGTCAGAGTTAGATTCACTGTCGGATTGACTGTCACTGTCTGAATCTGATGAAGACTCTGAGTTTTTCTCAGCCATCATTTCCTTAAACTGTCTGACTGTAATTTTCCTCGGTAGAGTTTCTCTTAAAAACTCCAAAGCATCGTTGGTTTGCACAACCTCAGCCAAGTGTTTGTAGTCTAAGGTACTTGCCTTGTTTGACTTTCGATGAGCTTCTTCTGACAGAAAGTGAATAAATAGCTCCTGAAAATAAATTAGGATTGATAAGATATTGATACAAAGTTGATCTTTTATTATTTAAAACGACTTACAGTTGCTTTTGCTACTGAAAATAAGCAGTCTTGTCCGATAGCCTCAACCTGTGGAGAACTTTTCATAATAGTCTTAACTCTGGATATAGGTAACCTAAGATCTTTGATTGCCTTTGGCGGAGATGTCTGATGAGAAGTCATTTTAAGAGTGTGTCTAATTATTGATTGATGAACTTAACCTTTCAAAAAAATTTTGATCTTTAATTGAATTAAAAACTCTTTTATCTAATACTATGACACATTACATGAACAAAAACATAAATCGTATAACGCAATTACCGTTCAAAGAAAATGTACTTCTGTCGTAACCGTATAGTTGTTGTTATAAGTGCTTAGTTCCACTATAAAAATACTTGGTTTGAAAAATTTGTGTGGATTGCAAATACTACAATAAACAAACAACAATCGCCTTGGGTGTATACATTACACTAATTGTGCGTTAGTTAAGAATTTAAACTGAAAAACCACCTGAAAAGAACTTTAAACAAGAACTAAGATGGCGCTTTGAGTTGCATATGCATGTGCATGTGCATGTGTTAAATTATGTTTATGGTTTCAGATTTTCAGCTTCTGCTTTAATTTTTTTTTTTTTTTTTCCACTGAACACAATAACTGCATTCAATTTTTTGGATACAGTTATTTTTTTGACTATTTCAATCATCAATAATTAAAAATGTTAAAATTGTTCACCTTTTTAATTTTTCGCGGTAAAACACAAAGTTGGGTAGGGGGAGAAAGAGGTCTGTTCCGTACCTTTCCCTTTTTTTTCGTTTAAGATTTTTGTGAGTATTATTAAAACAATTACATGACCAGTAATATTTTTTTGTTTTGCATCATAATCCAATCACGAATCTGCAAATAAAAGATTTTATGAAAATAAACCACATTGAGAATAAAAAAATTTTTGGCGAATGCCGAAGTGCGTGAAATTGAAAACGAACGAACCAAATGTCACATTTTTTCTCTCTGCATGCAAGCAGCACTTTAGGCGGGAGAAACTGAAGCAATACACAGCAATGTAGTGACTCACAGTTTAGTGTGCATGTGGTTTTCTCTCTCTCAACGATTTGTGGGTCAGCAATTCGCAAGTTGCGAAAAAATTTAATTAACTTTTGATACAAACGTGACTTACTTTTTCAAAGTTGATTTAATAAAAAAAAAAGAATGAGTGATACCGAAGACTACGAGGCGATCCGCCAAAAAAACATTGCCGAACGCAATGAATTTGTAAGTTTACCATATTAATAATACTGAACAAAATTATTTCTGAACGACATTAAAGTGATAATTGTTGGTTGTTTGAGCAGATGAAACAATTCTTAAAAGACATCGGTGAGGACATCGAGGAGTTCAAGAAACTGGAAAAAAACAAGCCAATAAGCCATAAAGACAAGGAGAACAGAACACCGACATCGAAGAAACGAAAACGGAGTTCAAGCGATCAAAAATTTACTAGGACGAAATCTGTCAGGCTTGAGTTCACCAGAAAGTACAATACAAGAAGTGGAAAAAGAAAGCTGGAGAATGGAGAGAACGAGGAGACGGACATACAGGATCTGTACAATGACAAGGACATTATTGTTTCTGAAAAAAAATCTAGCTTGAAGGTAATGTTCCCGTGGTCTAGGCCTGTACAGAGGGACCTCGACTTGATGAATTTAGACTTTAGCGACAATGATGACGATGAAGAGGATCACAGTGGATCTGACAGCGAATTGTTTCGGCCCAAGAAAAAAAGAGTCGTTAATATTTCAAAGTCTTCGTACGACCCTAGCACTATTCCTTCTCCTGATGAGATCACTGAGAGGATGTTGAAGGGTATTGCTGTCAAGGCTACTAATAAAACTTACGATGCTGTAAATGGGACATCCTGTCATCAATGTAGACAGAAGACTAAGGATACCAAGACTGTGTGCAGGTCTGGAGAATGTATTGGCATCAGAGGACAATTCTGCGGGCCTTGTCTGCGTGGAAGATATGGAGAGTCTGCACACGAAGCTCTTAAAGATCCAGTAAGTATTATATTCGTATTGACAATATTTTATATTATAAACTAACAAGTCTCTTGAATCATTAATTATATTTTTTTTTTTTTCATAACAGCACTGGGCTTGTCCACCATGCAGAGGTCTGTGCAACTGTAGTATCTGTAGAACAAAGAACGGTCAGCGACCAACTGGTATTTTAGCTCCGATCGCGAAAGAGGAAGGCTACAACTCTGTTAAGGATTACTTGGAAGCCTGTGAAGATTAATGCTTGCATCATTTATTGATTTTTTTACTTGTTTTTGTCAAAAGTTTAAGATAAATTATTGATGTCTGTTCAAGAGACGGATATATTATTCGATCCCAGATACTATTTTTGTAAAAGAAAAATCATATTGTATGTATGTAAACTTGTAAAATGTGATATGCCGTGGTAAGCTGAACCGACCTTACACTTTTTAAAGTTACCCATAATTGTAAGTAATAATTTTATAATCTTATTGGATTTGTATTTTCAGTACTCATTTCAACTGAATATTCTGTTACATTTGTGCTTTTTTTCTTTTTACACATTTATATTGAAATCAACCTGTCCAATAAACAAAATTAAAAAAAAAATGCAGCATCTAGTCGTTAAATATGTTATCTCCCCACCTCTGCACTGTTTTTTTAAAAATATCGAGTCTTTTAAAAGTCGCACAGCGCTCATTGTCGCCACTACAACAACAAAGAGAATCCACAATAAGTACGGCGTGCGCAGAGTTGCACAGCCTGAGTCGTTATTGACGCACCGTCTGCCTCTCCGCTCTGACGTCGGCCCAGCCCTTCTTCGCCCGAAAATTTCAACCGCACAGCACGTTTCGAGCCGCGTGTCAATCGTCAAGCCCAAAAGTAAGGTAATTCAATTATTTTTTTCATCTTCCATCGTAATTTCTAAGCTCCCGATCGGTTTAATTGCTCGAACAGCGCGGGATTCACGCGAGAACGTAATTTTCTGCGGTCAAAAAGTCGACCGATCGATAAAGCACATGGTATACGTTGATGCTGTGTATATATATACATTCACGTAATTTTTGCGTTCTTCTCTATAAATAAACAATAGCTCGAGCGAGGACGGTTCGGATATTTTTAACGATTTCACGGCCTTGAGTTATGATTAATGCAAGGATGATGATGCTGGTTACGCACTTTGCGATTTCGCCACCTAACCTACGTACCTATATGCTTGCTGTGTAGGTATATATATGTATCTTAATACAGTAGGTACACGTATGATAAGTATATGCACACAGTTCAGCAGAATCTGTTTCCGCGTATTTAATCACTGAAAAGTATATACACATTTAAATGTGAATTACACATTATATATATCATATTTTTAACTCCCATTTTGTAGGCTTAATGCTAAGAGTTCATCGACAGATTGTACATTAGAAGTTGTCTCAAAGATTTTTTTCTAGTGCGGCAAGTGTAAAATTAGCACGGATACATCGTTTGGTTTTCTATTGTAGGCTCTTCTTATGGTTCTTAATCATGTCGACGTTTAATGGACTTCTTCAAGAAATTCCGGGCATCTCGATCGATTGCTTCGAAGGGGATAACTTGCAGTCCTCTAGTTATTTTTTAACGCATTGCCATACTGATCACATGAGAGGACTGTGTTATGACTTCTTTGATCACTTGGCTAAACATGATAAGCCTTTTTACTGTAGTCACATAAGCAAATCTTTTTTGATAAATAAGTATCCGAACTTGGACTCTAAATTTTGTGACAAACACATTTTTGAATTGCCTATGGATGAAACGAGAATCTTAACTTATAACTATCATAATGTAGTAATGACGCTAACAGTGTGTTGTGTATCGTCTGGACATTGTCCTGGAGCTGTGATGTTTCTTTTTAATTTTAATAATAAAAGAATTTTGTATACCGGTGATTTTAGGATAAACAAAGAAGATTTTCCAAAGTTAAAGTCATTGCATTACGGTAATGCCACTCAACTTTTGCCACTGCCCATTGACAAAGTTTATTTAGACACAACTTTTATGAACTTAAATTTTTTGGAATTCCCTTCTAGAACGGAAAGCTCTAAAGAGTTGTGTTTAGCTGTTAAAGAATGGATTGACAAAGATCCTAGAAATGTCGTTATTTTAGAAATATCAGCTCTGTATGGTAGTGAGTTCATTTACATGGAACTTAACAAAAAATTAAATAAAAAAATTCATGTGAAAGACCACGTGTATAGAGTTTACAGCAGAATGAGTATACTCGCTGATTGCGTTACTAATTTAGGTGAAACTACTCCAATCCATGCATGTACGAATAAAAGCTTTCTAAAACCAGTAGGGCTAAAGTGCAGAGAGGATGTTCAATCCCAAAACATTTTAACAATAATTCCATCTGTTCAAAAGTGGGCTGGGAAAAATACAGCGGTCATCATTGAGTGGGATAAAGTTAAAAAACAGACGAAAAACGTTTGCTACTCGACACATCCTTCATACAATGAATTGAATTCTTTTATCATGTATTTTAAACCCAAAGAAATTTTTCCATGCGTATGTCACGAAACTGAAAAGCAAAATATTAATTATTTATTAGATAAAATAATGTCCGAGGTGCATGGTACTAAGGATGTTGGTGATAGCTCTAATCCAAGTTTACATTTTTCGAAACATAAAATGTTTAAAAAATCTATTAATAAATCTGATCTTCTGAGTGATGATGATGACAGTGACGATTCTTGATAAGATTGATGAATTTATTTATTTATTTATTTATTTATTTTATTAAAACCTTAGAATATAATTCGTTTTATAAATTGTAATGAAATCAAATGACTGATACGTGTATTTTTGGATTTTATGTGTCTTATTAGTAATTACAAATGTCATGCAGAAAAATGGATTATAACTTATTGATTTATTTTATTTATTACGCAATATTTATTTAATTATTGACCGTTCATTTATTAATTGTCATAGAATGCTTTTGTTTTGATTTAAGATAACTTTTTACTTTTATGAATAATAAAAATGAAATTATTTTAAACGTATGTAGTATAATTTATTATCAGCCCTTTTTCTATTACTTTCTAGCTCTAAATCAAACTAAAAATGGCAGCTGATTCGTGCAGTATCTCAAAAGACAAAGTCTGGGTTGACAAATCATCCTATGACAAAGCTGAATGCCTGTATCAAGAGAAACTAGGAAAGGTAAACTTTATCTATTTGATTTTTCAATTTTATAATCAAGATCGTTTCATCATTTTTAATTTCTCATTTTTTATTCATAACTACATGATTGATCATTATATTTCTAAAAATTAAAATTCAATTACTTTTTTCTATTTTGGTTTGTAGTATTTTCAGCTATTTTTTTTAACCTATCGAACCTTGTCAAACTAACTTGAAATGCTAACATTATTAATAAATGCTTTGGGGGAATATCTGGTGATAGTATTGTTAAAGTGTGTAATTTTCTGTTGTGTGGGTGTGTCCGATTTAACATACATAACTGATGGTTACTAACAATTCGAAAGGAACACAATTTCATTTATTTAATACATTATCACAAGAACTGTTGGATCAATTATATTTTTTAGTTTATGTGATATCCAATATTAAAATGTCAAATAACTGTCTTTTATAATATTGATTTTTTGAGTTCAAAACAATTGGTTTTTAATTTTTTTTTTTTTTTTTAATCTTGTAAATTAATCAAACCATTCTTGAAAATTTACGTTTTTAATTTATTAATGCTTATAGAACTCTAATTAAAGACTCTTGATGTCAGTGTTGCTTAAAAGACAAAATAATGACACAAAAGGATGTTTATAGTAACATAATATCAGGTAGTAGATGTATATAATTTCACCAAAAAAACTTTTTATATAAATGTGGTGCAGGATGTACTACCTCAGAAACCTTTGACAGGGGATGATTCACCTCTTGGTGTCACCAACTCTACCAAAAAATCCAAAAAATCTACCAATAAACAAAACAGTATTACGACAAGTAATAATGACTCCAATAACTCCGAAACAATCAAAAGTAGTAAAAAGAAAAATAAGAAGAAGGAGGCTAAAGTTGCCGAACCGCTTCTTGATACCGTCGCGATTAAAATCGAAGAGTCAGAAATATCGCAGGGAAGCGTTAATGAAACGCCTACCACTAGTAATAAGAAGCTGAAGGCCAAAGAGGCTAAAGAGGAAAAAAATAAAGCTGATAAAAAACAGAAAAATTCAGATCAGGATAAGCCTGCGATTGTTATTCAAGAGAATAAAGGTCAAGAGACCAACCAGGTACTAATTATTGACGTACCGAATTTGTTGAGAGGAAATATTTGTTTGTGATTTTTTGCAGCTTCACATACATTTTTTTAAATTGTAAAATCTCACATAGAACAGTTTTATTTTAGACACATTACTCTCAATTTTACGTTTTAGTTACTAAATTTATTTTGAATGTGATATTGTTTACATTATGTTCAGTTTTTGTGATAGTGTGTACTGTTAAAAAAAAAATTTCTGACTAATTTTAGTTTTTATTGCATGACTGCCTCCTTCACCCATGCAATGAAATGTACCTTTTCATATTATTTGCATGACCTATTTTTAAGTTTACTAACAAAATGTAATTTTAAATAAAGAAAGCTATAAATACAATTAGGATCCATTAACGTTCACTGGCACTTCATGGATAATTTAACTAATAGCTTTTAATTTTTTCAAAATACTTACAATAGTTAATACAACTACAACTTTTGTAATGCACCAGTATTGCATTAAATTTTGCATGATTTTAATGTTATTTTATAAATAATAGTATACTAATAGTAACTAGCTGTAATTATGGTGGTGAGTAAAACTTGTGATATTGATAAATGTAGGGAGGCCAGTTTTCTGCAGGAAGCTTAGCCAGTGAGGTTGCCAAGGCTCGTGCTCACATCAAACAGTCCCTGCAGTGTGTAAGTACAATCTTTTTTTTTCTCATCTTCGTTATTACAGGAGATTAGTTTTTATTCCGTACCAGCTTATTGAATTAAAGTGATTCTGCATAATAGTGCAATAATTCAAGATTAAACTTTATTTCTATATTTTTATAACTTTTGCGAAAGTTTTTATTACATCAAAATGTTGAATACCAGTCATGTTTACATAGGTTATACATGGCTTTACTAAAATCAATTTATATTACAGATGGATGGTATTGCTGCACTAGCTGGACTTGATAGTGATTTCTCAACGCGGGTTGTTACTATCGAAAAGCAAAACCAGGATCTCAGAAACAGTACGTATCTCGCAAAAAAACTAAACAATACGCTCGTCTTACCACACAATCATCAGTCACTTAGTTCAGATGTTGATAAAATGTCAATTGATTAGATTATTGAATAAAACTCGGTTTTTTTATTTTTAGTGATTTCATATTTTAAGAAATTTAAAAAAATTTTTTTTCTTTTATCCACAACGAAAAATTTTTCGATCAAGAACAGTAAGAAAAATAATCTTTAAAATGCATGATTGCTTGCAATTAATTTTGTACGTAATAATCTATATCTGGAAATAAATACAATTCATCATAAATATCATTTTTATTTCATGTTTCAATTTGTCATCAATCGTAATTTATAAAATTCCTAATTAGCTGTCCAGGAGCTTATGAACCATGTCAAAAAGCTGGAAAGTCGTGTTAAAGAATTAGAAAGCAAATGTGGCTCTAAAGGAACCCCAGCCCCACAAATCGCTGTTTGTCCTGCTAAGAAGCCCGCTCTTCCCAAGAAAGAGGAGAAAAAAGAAGAGAAGAAAGACGATGATGAGGATGTAGATCTATTTGGCTCAGATTCAGAGGTAAACATAAGTGTATGAAAAGCGTAAGGCAATAAGTATAATAAAATCAAACGTCAAAGTTAAATTCTAAAAAAAGGACAGAATAATAATGAAGTGAAGAAAATTAAAGGTTTCACACCAGATATTCCCAAAACTAAATATATAATTTACACAATTTTTGTTTAACAACCATAATTCACCTCATCTTCAAGTTTTAGTTTATACGTAAATTTTACTTTTTTTCACGATTTTGAGTTCTTGCACTTAAAAGTAAACAACGAGATCTAAGAGTATTCATTATTATTGAAAAAAAATTCATTTCATACTTTTTCTTTATTTTAATACATTTCATTGTACAATTTTAATTTGGATTTTTTTTTTTAATAATCAGTCCATCATAATATTATTTTGATACATTAGGGAGAAGATGCGGAAGCGCAAAAGGTCAGAGAAGAACGCCTGGCAGCCTATGCAGCCAAGAAGTCAAAAAGTGAGTCTTGATACATAAACAATTGTTTGCGATACTGTGTTAAAATAACGCTTACGTGCTATGTATTTTTTTTATTACAGAACCAGCTATCATTGCCAAATCGAGTTTAATTTTGGATGTTAAGCCATGGGACGATGAAACTGACTTGAAAGTCCTAGAAAACGAAGTGCGGAAGATCGAAACAGATGGTCTTTTGTGGGGAGCATGTAATTATTATTTTAAATAATTTTAATATTGTTAATAATTTTTGTGCAAATACTTTATTTATAATCAAATTCTTTGTTTTTTTAGCGAAACTTGTACCTGTTGCTTACAATATTAAAAAGCTCCAGATTACCTGTGTTGTTGAAGATGACAAAGTCTCCATCGATTGGCTGACTGAACAAATTCAAGAAATCGAAGAATATGTCCAGAGTGTTGACATCGCGGCCTTTAACAAAATTTAAATCTAACTGATTGATTAATTCTCAAAATAAATCTCATTTTTAAAAAACTTGAACGTTGTCTTATGGAGTGGGACTCATAGTGCCATTTGTTTAATGTTATTTCATTCCACTTACGATACCAGACCATCAATACAAGTTTTGCAATATCGAACAAAATTTTAATAAACAGTCTTTTAGACATTAATGATTACATACTCTTGAACATAAAATTAATGTGCAATCATAACGTTGTTTAAAAAATTATTACGTATATTGATAAAGTTACACAAGAGTACTTTAAGTCATGGAGAAACCTGTCAAAATATATTTTTATTTGGATATATTTATGTACTTGTGGTAATTAGTTACAAAAAAGTTCACACAAATTTCTTTCAATGCTATCCAATAATCGTGTTTATGCACAAATAGCTTTAAAATCGTTTGATGTTCCTTAGTACTTAAATAGGACATTATCAAAAGTAATTTCTTTTAATAATGTAGTAAAGTTATGAATATAAATCTGCTTAAATATATAGTTCAGTATAAGACAGTTTTGATACACAATTAATTGTTTATTAAAAACTTTTTTAAATATTTATTGATTTAATGTGGACTTGTTCATGTTGTTCGCGCATTGAGTTCCTTGTTTGTGTAGTGAAAAAGCAATTATTATCAGTGGCTGTATTAAACAATTAAAATTGGAATCAAAAATTTGTTTCAGTTAATACAAACCTAATCCACATCCTAGTCTATAATTTTAGAAAATTTGTATTTTTAATTGTGTTGGAAGATTAAAATCTTCACGGCCTTTAGACAAAATAATAATTTTCTAAAATACAAAATAGCATTCAATGATTACTTATATGATTTTAAATTTTTCAAAATTGTACTTTGATGATAAGTTATCGACAGTGACTGAATGACGTCACATCCCGAAATCATCACGTCAAAAATTATATTTGTCTGCTCTTTTTCTCAAGTCCAAATCATAACACACGTACAATTCACAAGTGCAAAGCAAAGGCTGTGTTTTTGTTTAATTTGACAAGTTTTTTAACACTTTTTAGTCAAAATGGCGATGGCAGTACTTCAGCGGCGCGCCAATGTAAGTGATTATACAAAATATATTTATTTACAACAAAGCAAACAAATTTTTTCTCAATGCAATTTTACCATAACCTCAATACGGTCGTGGTGTTTATTTCTCATCAATCTTTCGCTAAGTTAAATATTTAATAAAAATTAATGTATCATTAAATGTACTTTAAAAAAAAATCCTCTGCAACGTTTACTAATCATTGAAAACATTGTTATTTTACAATAATTTCAGGTGCGCTTGCCGCCAGAAGTAAACAGAATCTTGTATGTTAGGAATTTGCCATACAAAATTACTGCAGAAGAGATGTACGACATTTTTGGCAAATACGGTGCTATCCGTCAAATCAGAGTGTAAGTGCTCAATTGACATTTGAGTGTGTAAAAAAAATATGTCATCAAAAATATCAAAATGAATTTTACTTTGCAGAGGAAACACTGCAGAAACGAGAGGGACAGCATTTGTTGTCTATGAAGATATCTTTGATGCAAAGAATGCCTGTGATCATCTCAGTGGTTTCAACGTGTGTAATAGATACTTGGTAGTTTTATATTATCAACCAAACAAAGCTTTCAAGAGGGTCGATGTTGACAAGAAGCTGGAAGAGATTGACAAACTTAAGACAAAGTACAACCTGGGGGAAGAGAAAAAATAAAATGACTTTTCATTTTGCTGATAACAAGAACAAGTTTTCGGCAAAAGTGATCCAACTGACATAAATTTAAGTCCTAATTTTTATTTATCAATTAGATAGTTTTAATAATTTCATATGTATGTATGTATATATATAAATATCTAAGAGTACACATCAATTAACGAAATAATAGCCTTACTCAATGTTCGAATAAGATTTTTATAATAAATGTAAGTTCTACTTATTAATTTCTACATTTTTTGTGTATCTCTTGAACACCTACTAGTGTGTATTCATTAGGCTCACACAATGTAATTTTGAATACATAGCTATGTGAAAAGAGAAGGAAAGATAAGTTGACTTTTGATGCTGATGCAAAATGTCTTACGAGTGTTGCGGTGATGGTCGTCGCGCCGGCGAGACCTTCACCGATGCCCTGAACGGAGCTTTCAGTCACGTGGTGGAGCTTCTACAGGGAGATAATGTACCACGTCATTTCACCACGGAAGGCATTGTTATCAGCCTTATGGTGATTCTCTGCCTTTTCATGGTCGTGCGCTTTTTTCGACCTTGCTCTTCAAGAGGTTAGGATTTTATGCAAATTATTTTGAAAAAAAAGCATTTCTCGCAATTTTGTAGGAAAATTTATTTTTTTGTAGAGCAAAGCATTGCAGAAAAATGAAGATACATGTAAAATAAGTTGCTTTTTAGAATTTCGATGGGCTTTTTGCGATTTTAATTTTATTTTCATAATGCAACAAATGTAAATACTTAAACAAGATATTGTTACAATAAGTAAAATTATTAATTTTGTTGGAAATATTAACGTGTTAGTACAGGATGTGTAATGAGCTGTTACATACTACATCTACAATCACAAATATATAATATAATTGTATTATATTAGAGTTCTGTGTAATAGGGAATTTTACTCCCGTTAATCAATAAATATAATAAAAAAGACGTGATGGAGGAGAAGTGATATGCATACAGCATCAGAAATGGAGCACGTGAGAATAAGCTAGGATATGTTTAAACGAAGTCAAAGAATGCCGGTCTCAATATACGTTATTGGATTTATTGTTTTTGATCTGAAATGACATCAGCACTCGAATTTAATTGACAAAAAAAAGAGCATTCCTTCAATTCTTCAAGATTTGTCAAGTTCCAATAATGTATGGGCCAACTGTAGAGGAAAGTAGTGAACTTTTCTTCCCTGAACCCACCCACAACAATTATATGTACTGCGTGTAATTTACCCTCGTTCAAATGGAGATATGTTTTGTCGGATAATTCGGTGTTCCACTTTTTACTGTTACATTTCCCATAGATGCAGACCAGATTTTTCGATTTGTTTTCGACCACGTTACTTTATTCATAAATGTTGTTAATTTTATCTCCTTATCTTTATCTCTTCAAGAACCAGATTACAACTATTTTCTTTGTAATAATTTTTTTCTTTTTTTTATTCTATACAAGATTTTCGTTTCGTGGTAATGAAAATAAATGGGAGCTTTGCTGGGGGTGCTCTGTTGTCGGATGAAATTAGAAAAAACAATAAGGTCGTGCGCAATTAATTTTTTTCGGTTACAGAAAAAGATGTATTTTCTTGCATGTACTAAAATGGATCAGGAAAATGTAAGATTAATAACAATTTGTATAAAAGTAGATAAACTTTATTGTACAGGCTTTGTCACACAAATGATCCCTTATAATCATACGAAATTAAAAAAAAAAAATTGCAAAATACTTCTAATTATAAATAATCAGTGAATAAAACCTACGACAGTATGGGTAAATCAACAATAATACTAACGCACTATTATCATTTTTTATACTTCAATTAATTTAACATCTACTAGCTAACTTTTACTAGAATTTAATCAAGTCCAAACAGCGTTTTTTTCTTCAGAGTAAAAAAATCTTCAAGTATATGGTGAAATGAAAATTGTTTAAAGTAATAACTAGATTTCAGATTTTTTTTATCATTCTTGGGCTCGCTTATTAATAAAAAGAAAAAAAACAAGCTTTCTCACCGCGGAACGTATGTACAAAATGAAACGACAATACACCATATAAATCAACCCTCAAATCCTCGCTACTCTTACTTTCTTGCAATAAACTAACTTGTTTAGACTCCCATCGATTAAAACGCGGTCAAGTAGTGTCTGTAGAAATAGTGTACCGTTTAATTTGTATGAAAAAGACTGATGCAACTTATATTTAGATGTTGACAGGACTCGACAAAACATAAGCATAGTTAACAATTTTTTGACGAAAACAGTTTTATTGTCTATGTGTGAAAGCATATTTTGATGATTATACTCGGCGTCGAGTTTTGAATTTCCAGCTGAAAGAGTGTTAAGATACAAAAAAACCGTAATATCAAACGTTTTATGAATAAAACTGAAACTTTTTATCATTACAAGTCTAAATTATCATTTATACAGAACTACTTCGATAAAATATGCCTATTTAGAAAAAATAAAAATAGTTGGCTTTAAGAATAAAAAAAAAATTTCACATATCATTAAACTTTGATGATGAACTTACTATTTTCATCTTGTTCTGGATGTTCCTTAGTAAAAAAGTTTTAAAAATTTCTAAAAATGCTTAATATATTATAAAGTTGCCTTTTTTATACATTATTTTAAATATGGTAACTTGCGCAAACTATTTATCTTGCAGAGGAGGAGCCATCCGAGCAATCGATTTCGAGTTGAGCAGGCTGACCTTACTATGAGCGTAACTTAGACACTTGGCGAGTCCAGGAGAGCAACCATATTCCTGAATCGTTTTGAATCGGTAGGTTCTGAAATTTTTTTCCTGGTCTATGTAGGTAACTGCAGCCATGAGTGGGCACAGAATTATCTTTGTGTGATCTTGGAAGTTTATCTGGAATGAGGAATAAATTTTATACTTAAAATATTGTTTGTATTACCAAAAATCGTTTTTTAAATGTGACATGTACGTAGAAATCTAAATAATTCGAATAACAGTATTTTAAATATTGTTCTATTTTTTTTTTTTTTTTTTTAATACTGAAATTTTATATCTAAATTGTATCGTGCAATACAGTTTAATTTAACGCACTTTCATGACGCACTTGTCAAGAAACTGTAAGCTCATTAACACTCAAGGATTTAAATAACTTTCAATACCAAGCATGGATTGTTACTGTACTCAACTATATTGCACGTAAAACATAATCTCACGTACCTGCAATGATCCGTTTGTCAGGAGCATCACGACAGCCGTCTGTGTCCTAAACCACTGATGCATATAGGGAGGTCTAGCGAGTGAATCGCTCTGATGGACAGCTACAGCACCACCGGCTTTCATAAGATGATCATTCATGTAGCGCAAGAAAAAGTTGAGAAGTTTCATTTTTTTGTCGAGGCTACGCGGGAAATCCTTCGTAGTGTAGTAGGCCTCTTCTCCCGAACGATCGATGTAGTGAATATTGTAATTGTTCGCAAGCATGATGAGGCGTGTGCCATCGTTGTACATAACGCCAACACCATCATCCGATAATTGGTAGCCAAAGCCGTATTTGTCAGAGTAGTCTACCCATTTGCTCACCCAAACAAATGGTTGTGCGTTCGGGTCAGTCATTTCGTCTGAAACATGAGGTAACACTTGTGATTAGAAAATTTTTTATGACATGTTTATGAGTAATGTATCAAGTAATGAGTTATGAATAAAGGGTTGACGAAAGGTTAATACAAGAGGAAGGAATAAAATTCGTGCCTGGGGTACGCCGAAAAAATCGAAATGATCTCTGGGGTACTGAAGAAAATATACAAATTTTAGGGTAAATTGTGGACAATACATTTCAAATACAAAAAAATAATCATACCGGTACTCGTTACTTCTTCTCTGGGCTTCAACTTTATAACTGTAAATAATTGATCTTCCAAAGACTTGAGCATCGAATCAATGTCGTGATCTGGCTGCTTCGAGTTAGTCTGGCCAATCTTATTAGCATTGTGTGGACTTCCCTTCTTGAGCACATCCTCAATTTTAGGGCTGTTATTGTAATTCATTTCAGACAACGGTTTGCGACTCATGGGCTCAAGCATATCGAGACGAGGAGCCATCGTTAGACAAGAAGCTGGCAAACTGACTGGCATAAAACCTTCAAAAACATAAATGTATCAGTAATATCACCTGTGCAGTAATGGCTAAATTTAAATAAAAATTCAAGAGATGAAAATTTACCAGACGAAAAGAAAGGATCTTTTAGTAGTTTAGCAACTGGTGGTCGTTTTGCTGGATTGCCTTGCAACATACTGGAGATCATGAATATTGCAGGTGTATTCAGCAAGTGCTGTGGCACTTTGTAATTGACTTGTTTGATTCTGGCATACGTTTCTTTTAAGCTGGATGTTTCAAAAGGTGGTTTGCCCACTAACAATGTATACATGATACATCCAATGCTCCAAATATCGACTTCGTAGGAATGACCTGATTTAGTTAAGATTTCTGGAGCAATATAATTCGGAGTTCCGCACAGAGTCCTGAACATAATTTGTGCAAAATTATATAAGGCAAGTAACGGATAGTTTATTGGACTAAAAAAAATGCTGTTTACTTTTTTCTTTCTCCATCGTGCTCTAATTTTGTTGCTAAACCGAAATCTCCAATTTTTACTTGTAAATCATCATTGAGAAAAAGATTGCCTAGCTTTAAGTCACGATGAATTATTCTATTTTGATGTAAATAGTGAACACCATCCAAAATTTGTTTCATATAATATCGTGTTTCACATTCGGTGAGAGATTTTCGTCTCTTGTGCAATTCCATCATAGACTGGAAATGGTAAACAAACATATATTTTAAAAATAGTTAATAAGTACATTTGGAGCCATTTGAAATTGACTACAACATACCCTTTTTCTGCACAGCTCCAAAATAATGTAAACATTGTAAGTGTCATCAAAGAATCCATAAAAGCCAACAACATGTTTGTGGTTCAGACTTCTGTGGATAGCTATTTCCTGGGTCATTTTTTCTCGCTGGCTGCTTTTCACCATCATCGATTTTGGAACAATTTTGCCAGCAAAGATGTCGTGTGTTTCTGAATCTCTGATTTCGTAACATTTTGCAAAGCCACCCTGTAATACCGTTAACAGGCATATGAACACATATACGTACTGGAGCATGATGTACGTATATTAAGAATAGTTGTACAATTATCAGTGAATTTCAATCGCAGGGCTTGAAAATAAATCTCCTGCACTCGTCTGAGCATGTTTCTCTTTCATGCAAAACTTGTAGCCAGAAAAAATAAGAAAAATTGATTAATCAATAAAAAAGTGAACTATTCAATAACCTCATCGTTTTTAACGAACTAACATTGCGCAGAGGAGCTCGGAACTGTAAGGTTCAATGACAAACGGAGAAATCCACAAACCCACGATTCTAGTAATCCATCAATACTAAACAGTAAACAAAACAATGCTGCCAGCACCAAAAGAAAGCAACAGAGCAGGCAAGAATGAACATCAGATCGGTAAACAAATGTTATCTCATGCACGAATGAGCGCGAAAAAAAAAAAAAACCAAAAAAAGGAGAGACAAAACTCACCTTGCCGAAGAAGCGGCCCTTGAGATACGTTTTCCCGATCTTACTGTCGAAAATTGGATCGGGTATGAAATTTTCCTTCTCCTTCTCTTCCTTGGACATCTTGCTGCTGCTTTCCCTCTCCCGAAAGAGCCTCACTCGGGTATGACAACTTCTCGGCAACTATGCCCTCGGCGCGTGCTGTCCCCTGCAGGCCCTACTTGTACGGTCGAAAGGGCCTTACTGCGCGAGGCCCTTTTGGAGAAACAGCTGGGGCAAGAGCTGCTACAGCTTCGAAAAGGTGGTCGTGATGATGGGAATCGGTGGGCACGTACACTTGAGCCCGCACCAACCGACCTTTTCGCTGTTTCGTAGGCACGACACACTAGGTACAAGCCAGTTATGGATGGGTCCTGCAGCCTGTAGCGTTTCAACTGGCTAGCCTCGCGAGAGCCCAGTCCGTGACCGTTCTTCTTTTGGGTTTTAAATTTGAAATACTGTTGTACTGGCCAATCCCGACGCTATCGAGTGGGTCACGTGGTTCAGCAGATCGCGTGCCGGGGCTTTTTTTTTTTTTTTTTTTTTTTTCTCACAAGACTCGTGTCTTATAGGTTAGGAAGACAACGAGGGGGTTTTCTCTTTGTGTTTGCAGAGGGGCTCGAACGACTTATGATTTTTCGTTGTTTTTCCAAAAATTAAACCGAGTTTTCTTTTTGGAGTAGAATGCAAGTATGAGAGGCCAAATTGTAAATGGGCAATTTGATTAGCGTAGTGTCGGTTTTCTAGCGCGCAAAATTTCGAATTGTCGAGTTCTTGTGTAGCTTACTTTAATAGCCAAGGACCAAAAAAGCTTTTTCAACTCTGTTCATCAGGTGACAGTGGTACTTAACAATTAGCATTAAATATCCTTTATTAATTTCAATTACATCATTTGACTATTAATATTTACAATAAATTTTATGCGAGAAAATATGTTTTTTAACCTACATGGTTTTAACAAGCCTCAGAGATGGCGCTAGATTCTAACTTCCGGTCGATCGCCACGTCGAATGCGATGATTATGCTCGAGCAGCAGTTGTTGTGGGTATGTAATACTTACGTAGTGTGTATACTTGTGAATAATCTGTGCGCGAGACGCGAGTCACGCGAGACGCGCTATTAACAAATATATACACGTTGTGACGTTGTGACCTTGTGACTTGTGTCAGAGGCTTGTGTTTTGTGTTGCTCCTTTTTATCGTGACGCTATCACACGTTAATATACTATACGCATAGCGCACTGCGCACAGCACGCCGAGAGCCGAGGAGAGCCGAGAGTGTATAAGTGGACGATCGACCCGGCATCCATCTTCTTCCTTCCTCTCCTCCGCCGTTTTCGTACGAAGAAGAGAAGAGACGCGGTGGGTGCACAGTAGTCCATCAATACTAGTCCTGCTCAAATAGAACACCCACGCGGTCGATCCTGCATTTCAATCGCGTGACAATCCTCTTGGAGCTTGTGTCAGTTTTTTCCCCGTGTAATTGTGAGTAACGAAACTGTCTCTTTTATTGCAGTTTTATATATTTTTCTTTTAAATCAACAATTGTCCACCCAGAGCTCTGAGGGTACCGAAACAAGGGACACGCTGTAACATTTATGTGTGTTCAAAACCTTGATTTAACACTTTTGTGGTGGTTTTCGAGTTGACTATGCGATTTGGCACGAGGTTCGTTTATAATACATCGTAAGTACTTACTTCTTGTTTTCCGTTGCAGAAGACAAGCAATCAAGCGACATGGCGGACGTAGTAGCGCCGGCGGTTGCACCACCACCCTCACGAGGCGGTTTCCGTGGTGGTCGCGGAGGACCCGGCGGCCCTCCCCGTGGACGTGGAGGCTTTGGTGGCGGACGGTACGTATCTTTCCTTTAACCTTTTATTCATGCGTCGTTGGGCCGTAATGCACGTGGTTTTGAAGAAGAGAGAGTGATCACCAACGGGTTTTAGAGCGGCTCGTCGCTCGTATTGATTTTATGTAGCCCCTTGTTTCATCATCACGATTGCAGCTTCAGGGTGGATATCGAGGGTAGATTTAAGGCGGTGTTAGATCAGCCAGAGGTGCAGTTTGTCATTTTGACTAATTCAAAAGTCTATGCTCGGTAATAGGGTATATAAAAAGGTATGATACACATGATGGGGAAAAAATACGTTCGTTTGGGGCTTAGCTTGGAGCAGCTCGGAGCTCATCGGAGCACCTCCGAGCAAATTTCTACAGTCGGCATATCTATATTTATAGTCTTGGCAATATAAATATTTACGTCTTGGCCATAAATATAGATATACCGACTGTAGGAATTTGTTCGGAGGTGCTCCGATGAGCTCAGAGCAAAACGCGTGTTTTGGGGCAAAGTTCGGAGGAGCTCGGAGGAGCTCCGAGCTGCTCCAAGCTAAGCCCCAAACGAACCTAATGGATATATGAATTTAGATAAGCTGGGGGGAGGGGAGAGAGAGGTCACGTTTGTGTACATCTAATGTCGAATTTTCAGAGTAAGTTATTTATGCTGCTTAAAAATTTTCATTTTCTCGTAGCGTCATCACGTGGAAACTTAAAAAAATTTTATCTACTTTTGGTGAAAGATACTCGTGCCTGTCTTATGATAATACAGCTTTTTGTACTTGTTTCGATTCAGTATCTATCAATTTGATTCCTTAAGAATTGAATGAATTTAATATGTATCTCGTGTCTCGTTCAACAGTGGTGGTCCACCTAGAGGTATGATGCGTGGTCGTGGAGGTCCGGGAATGAGGGGCGGACCGCCCATGAGAGGCAGAGGAGGTATGCCAAGTAGAGGACGTGGTGGACATTATGGGTAAGCTGACATATTTAAAATTTAATAGATTTTTTCTCAAATTTTCAATTATATAATTCAGTTCATTGGGTTTACAGTGCACCACCAGATGCGGGTGGCGTTGGAGGTTCTCCCTCTGGAGTACCCCGAGGTAGGGGAGGAGCAGGAGGTTTCAGAGGTAGAGGTCGAGGAGAGTATTCGAGTCGTGGAGGTGGAGGTTTCAGAGGTCGCGGTGGACTCGGTGGCGATAGACCGCGTGGTGGAAGGTAAACTAAACTCGATCTGTATGAAAAAAAAAAATTGTCTACAAAGATAACAGTATTGTATTACAATAATTTGATTATGTTCAGAGGAGGATCACGAATGCCAGGTGGTGGTCGAGGTGGCTTTGACCGTGGTGGTCGGGGTGGCGGTCGAGGTGGTCCCCAGAAGCGTGGTGGTGGTCCACCTGGTGCCGGTGGCCCACTCAAGAGGCCAAGGTTCGATGCCGGTCCTCCTGCACCACCTAGTAATGGTTACGTGTCGGCACCTCCAGCTCCAGGTTATGGCAGTGCTGGTAACGGTTATGCCCCAGCAGCACCACCTGCAAGTAACTACGGTGCAGGATATCCACAACAAGGCTATGCTCAGGGCTACCAGGGTTACGAAAGTTATCAACAGCCACCAGACTACGCACAGTCCGCGGTACTACAAATATTCAAAGCTATTCCCTTTTATGATCCATATACATTGAATCTAATTTATTTTCATCTGTCGTTGTATCTATGATTAATTTTTACTTTTAATATTTAATTGCAACTATTTCTTTCATGTACATTAGTATAAATGGCTTGACAGATTGTACAGTTGGTCTAAATTAAGTTCAATGCGTTTGCCACTTTCTGAAGAATAAAACTTTTTTGGATGAACTTTATATATATATATATATA